AGACAATTACTAGTTTTAAATACTTTACATTGGAATGGATTGTTTTATATTGTATACAAATTATATATATTAAAATTGATATTGTTAGAAAATGCTATATGTATATTTCTAATTGTACTTATACTGTTCTTTTAACAATGCAATTTTCTGATCCTTGAATGTTATTATTACCAACTATTAATATATAAAGAAATGAAAGTTAGTAGTTAGACATTATAATAGAACTTGTAGTTATATTAGATATGTTTTAAAAATTGAGCAGATATATTTTAGACAGGTCATCTTCAAACCCTTCAGAGATCTACAGAATATGGCATTTAAAATGTTTTAATAACTTAGAACATTTTTCTTTTTTTTTATGACTATGAGAAATGTCGACTCCTGGCAGTACCAATCTACTTCAAAGAAAATATGGGCATTAAAGAAACTGCATATGGAGTTAACTTTCTTTGTGGCAAAAGTTAGCCACTGGACGACAAAGTATCCTCGAATCAACTGCTGACAAAATGGACAGACAGGACATGAAACAAAGGACTACTGATTCTTGCCAAAACAAGTGTGGTTATGGCTTTATCAAAAGACATCTTTTGAGGCCAGGACAATATGGCACCATCCCTGAAGTGGACTTCGCAATTGGGAAAAGGTACAGTGCCCTTTTCTTTGAAGGCAGCTGAACAGGCAGTGGGCCGATGGCTTCTGATGTGCTATGGAACAGCAGCTGAAACAGTTATTCTTGAAGGTAACTAAGCTCACGCCTCTCAATAGTAGACTGGCATTTGATAGAGGGATGTGGAGAAGAACAGGATGCTGAGATGAAGCCATATATACACAGCCAAGAAGAATGGACAGCTGAATTAAAAAACCATCAACGATTTCCAGAATTTAAAATCCTAAATTTGATACTAGTGGAATTCAGGTGTTTCTGGTACATGGACTGCTCTCACCCAATGTGAGGTTGAACTGTTGACCTTGTGTACATCCTACTTCACAAATGAGTCTGTCAGATACGCTAAGCCTATAGGCTGAAGATGATGCCCCAGCACTGTGGAGAAACCTCAGGTGACTGTCCAGGCAGCTGGCTGTTTCTGTCAACTCACAAATTTTTTGGAAGTTGCTTGCATGCACTTCCTGTTTTTATTTTTGTTAGCTAATATTATTTCCTTCTTGGGTCTCTGAGGGAGTTGAAGATTAGTTAGTTATAGTTGAAGGTTAGTTAGTTATAGTTGAAGATTAATTAGGATAGAAAGTGAATTAGATACATTTTGGACTTACTAAAATAGGATAGATAATGGAATTATTTTCTCTGAATTTGTCAAATACAAATGGACTAGACATTGTTTAGGTATTTATTACTTGTATATATTGTATATAGTTATTGTACTTTTGTATATAGTTTTTCCTTTGTTAACTATAACCTTTTTCTTTTTTTTCTTTTTATTAAAATAGAAAAGGGGAAATATGGTGGTATTTTATTTGTACTGAAATGTGATTCTCATTGTACATTAATAAATAAAGTTGCCCGGGGGTCAGAGCTATTAGAGCCATAGCAAGAGCGTGGCAGTGGTGGCGCATGCCTTTAATCCCAGCACTTGGTAGACAGAGCTAGGTAGATCTCTGTGTGTTCAAGGATAGAGCCAACATTGGAGACACACGCCTTTAATCTCAATACCATAGAGGACCTGGAGGGCTGTACATACAGGCAGTGACTAAGCAGTCATGTGTTTGGGTTTACAACCAATGAGAAGGCAGAACAGCTAGACTATATAAAGACATACACACAGGAAGTAGGTCCCCCCTTTCGGAGAGCTCTCTTGGCTGAAGAGGATTGCTGAATCAGGAAGGGTGAGGCTCTTAGCTCTGACCTCTTGGCTTTCTTCTCTGAATCGGCTCTGTGTTTCTTATTTAATAAGACAGTTGGTTACATCTACAGACCACACTTTTCCATGCTATAAATAAGTCAAAGTTTCTCCTAACCCTTTCTTAACCAATGAATTCTCTCAAGCCTTCCTTACAAGGCTGAATCTCAGAGTCACAGCTCCTCCTGTGGCCAGTGAGTTACAAAGCATTCTAAACTTGATCCCTATATGCTTTCTGTTCATATTTGTTTTACAATAGACATATTCCACTGCAAGGTTGAGGTGTAGCAACTGAATAAAGAACAATGTAACCTGAAGTGGGGGAAGGCGTTCTGAAGAGACACTGTATATCTCATTTTGGCTATCAGACTATTGAAACAAGGAACTGCAAGACATTAGACTACTCCTGGGAATCTTGTTGGGACATTAGAAATTTAAATTTTCTCCCAGAAAAAAATGTGCCACTTGTCAGTCTACTTATCAGGAGGATGGAGCTGAAACACTGATGGACAGGACCACACTTTGATCAGTAGAAACTGCTTAGATATGCACATCTCTGGCCCTTTGTTTAAAACTGAAAGGAAACTTCTTATTGGTGGAAGCCTGAAGATGGACTTTGGGGATTCACTGGGTCTTTCTGACCTTCTTTCCAATGTGAGCACATTGAATAAATCTTCTTCCTTTCATGCTTTTCATTATTCAAACAAAATACAAAGGGAAACAAAGCAAACAAATAAGACAAAAATGTTTTAGAATTTAGCATTTCTGCTGTGTACTAGGAAAGGTGAATGGCAGAGTTCTTAGAGGCAGGGATACACATGGGAGAAGGGTTGTCATTGGTCAAGACTTTCCCATTCCAAACTGAATTCTCATCAGGCACCATCTGAGAAAGTGGTCCTCAGGGAATAAACAAGAAGGTAGAAACAGGGTGATGCAGGGCCTGACTAAGGCCACTGGAGAGAAAAGGGCTCCTGGGGTGCTGCTAGAAGAGGGGTTTAATTGTCTTTAGGCATCCTTGGCTTCAGAAGCACCTTTCCCAGGAAAAGAGAAGAACTTTTGTCCACAGAGGCCACAAGCCTGACCCTACCTCCCTCTCCCACTCAGCCTGAGCAGTCACACAAAGCACATGGTCTCAGGCCCATGCACAGGGGTAAGCTGTGAGAATCAGAAGCATGCTCAAGTTCTAAAACTCAAGAATGATAAGCCCTGCAGCAGAGACTGAAATGTAACTATTGGATAGTTGTTCTCTTGCTGGTTATAATTTGAGGGAAAATAACTGTCTTACAGATTCTGCAAATGATGTTTGAGTTCTCAACTAGACATTGAGTGGTGTGTGTGTGTGTGTGTGTGTGTGTGTGTGTGTGTGTGTGTGTGTGTGTGTGTATGTGTGTGTGTAGCGTACTTTCATATAGGGAGGTCTTGATGCCCTTAATTATTGATCCAGTTCAAATTTTATGCAACACATAGGAAACTGCCATTCTCATGTTCTGAACTAGATGCCAATTGGCATCCCATTGACAAATAATGAGAATAAAGACTTACCAAAAACAAAATAACATGTATCAGTATTTCATAAGACCCTAAAGACTACCCATTCCCTATTTGGAAAACAAGAGATGACGTCATCCAGGTCACTAAAGTCAAACATCTTTAGATGAATTTATATGCTGGGGCTTACAGCAGAGATGCTAGAACAAGTTGCAGAAAGTTGAACTCCTCACTTTCTTGAGGGTGTTTCCACCCCAAATGGGAGTAAGCTCAGAACATACCCGGGCTTTCAGAGTTGGATAGGATTATTTCCAAAATCAAGTAGGAAAGTTTATTACAATAAAAATAATTTGTGTTTGGAGGCATTTGTGGGTGCAAAGACAGTAAGGACACAAAAGACCAAAAGTTCACAGCAAATACAACTGACAGTTAGTTTGCCTTAAGACCATTTGCCAACTTAGCACAATCTGTTATGTGCCTGAAGGAAATAAGGCTGAGAGAGTAGGGTGCTTCCTAAAGCAACCAGTAGCTCTTGGATGTGTAGAATAACATGATGTTCAGTGATACTGACCATAAATTCCCTCAGAAAGCCCTGTGCCTTGAGTATGCAGACAGGAGCAGGGGACTGCTGAAGATAAGCACAAGAGAACTTTGAAGAGAATGAAAATATTTTAGAGCCAGACTATGTACACCAGTACAGCTCCATGGATTTGTTAAAACTCATGGAATTTTACATTTGAATAAATATAATGTTATATGAATTTCATGTCAATAAAGCTGCTAAGTGCTCAAAGCATTGTTTAAAACTTAAAACACTGACCCTTTAAGACTAAGAGTTAACAATGATCCCATGGACTTGTCAAAACCCAGCTTCAACTGAACTCCATCATGAACTTAATGAAAATGACCTACCTCTCTTAGAAATTCATAGCAGAATCAATCTCTGTCCTCTCAAGAGGAAGATAAAATCATTCAGACCTTCAAATTGTCTCTAATTTTTCATGTACATCAGCTTTCACATGACTTACTCAGTCTATGAGGAAACAAGATAATATCATCACAAACTAGACATGACAAAGACAAAGAAGGGTCTCATATAAGTTTAGATGTTACAGTTATTAGACACAGATCTTTAAATAGGTAATGTTTAACAAAATAAATGTAATGGAGAATTTTAGCAGACAACTTGAAACGGTAATCATGGTCTAAATGGAAATTCTGGACTGAGTTATACTGATTGCCTAATATATACATTCAATATATTTGTTTACAAAGAGAATGAACAAAGCTTAAAAGAATAGATAAGATGGAAAGATAAGTTGAAACTGCCCAGACCAAATCAGAGACACAGAAAAAGAGAAGAGTACAAATGAAACCATGTTAATTGGGACATTGGTGTAGGCAGGTGATTGACTGTCAATCGATGATTTCTAGAGAGTCAGACTACTGGAAATCCTGTGATCCACTGTTGCACACTTTTGGACTACGCCTGCATAAGTGCCATCCAGGCCACTGCTATAACTCAAACCCACAACTAAACACCTTTCCAATAGAGTGAGTCAACGTCTGCAAGTCTGCATGGAATTGCTCTTCACAGCTGTGACTGACATTAAATGACACAGCTTACACTTTTATCAGGGCCAAATAATCATGGCTTCAAGTGATGGTCAGCCACAACAGCTACAAACAAAGGAGGTTCATAGCAGTAAACTTAAGAGCTGATGCAACCAGTGGTATCCAAGGCATAGCTGATGTTCCTCATTTTCTGCCTCTACCAGCAATTCCAGATTTCCTTTATCTTTGTTCTGCTTGCCCTTCTGAGGGTTGTTCCTTGTTCAGTGGGATGGCCCCAACCTTTGCTCCTTCTGGCAGTGGTTCTCAATGCTGTGTTCCTTTAATACAGTTCCTCATGTTGTGGTGATTCCCAGCCATAAATTATCTTTGTTTATACTTCATAGTTTTGCTACTGTTATGAATAATAATGTAAATATCTGAAATGCAGATGGTCTTATGCAACCCCTGTGAAAGGTTCATTCAACCCCCCCAAAGAGATAGAGACCCACAGGTTGAGAACTGCTGCCTTATGCCTTTAAGTAGATCTACTTGCTCATATTGTGACTGATTCACTCACCAAATTGTCGCTATAACCACACACAAATTAGAGGAACTTGAGTGAATTCATTAAATTCTGGATCAACTTTTCCTTGTTCCCAATGTGGAGTAGCTAATTTGTGATCACATGATCATCTATTTTTATAAATTCTATTTATTTAATATCTATTTATATAAACTCCATTTTTTATTCTTACCTTCCTGCTTCTAATAAAAGGAACCAAAAAGACCAAGCACATTTCCAGTTCAGAATCAATGGGATCCTTATTGTGTCTGTGGTTGCAGTGTCAATTTCTTCCTCCTCCATCTCATAAATCAAAATTTTTTACCTGACAGATCCGATTTATCCAGTGGCAATAACTACAAATGTGGCCCTTGAGTCACTAGGAGGGATGATCAGGGAAGTAGTGACCCTACTTCATGTAGAAGGAAGTTTATTGTTCCTGCCCAGCCTTGCGGTTCTGAAAAATCTCTCCCACCTGCAGTCCCGCAGCTGCTTTTAAAATAATCATTCAGACACTTATATTAATAACAAACTGTATGACCTATGGCTTCAGCTTCTTTCTACTAGCAATTTCATCTTAAAATAACCAATTACTATTAATCTATATGTTGCTATGTAGCCATGGCACTATCTATCGGCTGGCATCTTATTGCTCCTAAGGTGTTGGGGTCGGGTCTCTCTAGACTCTGCCCTTCTTCTCCCTGTATCTCTGCTTGGATTTTCCAACTGATTCTGGGTTGCCTTGCCATAGGCCAAATTAGCATATTTATTAGCCAACCAGAGCAACACATATTCACAGTGTATAGAAAGATCCCACAGCAACTTCAACCTTTTGGGTTAAAATACTTTATCTAAACAACTATTAATAAAACATTGAAAAATTTAAATGCAATTAAAATGAAGGGGAAAAAGAAGATATGAGTCACTCAGTTACATGCTAAGAGATTATTCGCTCAAGTTTATTTACCAGTCCCATCTATGGTGTCTGCAGACAGTCTGTATATCCCATCGACTCTGACCATCCCTTGATGAGATAGCTTATCTTGGTCTTTTAATTTCAAATAATTATCTGTTTAAAAACAACTGCAATTAAAAAAACAAACAAGCTTCCTTCTCCTGGGGAAGCCAGGAGAGAGGCAGACACATGAGGGTTTGTGTACAGGAAGGAGGTGTTTTTGCAAGGCTGTGGATAAGCTGCTGGCACAAAAGTACATGGCTGAGTCCTCCAGCATTGTGGGCTGGATCTTCAGAGTGAAATACGAATCCTCTTTCCTTTCAACTGAAAACCGATCCTCCTTGAATAGTTTAGACTTGTCTGAGATTTTACCCCTGTAGAAAGAAACCAGAAACTCCATCTGCTGTCCCAAGATCAGTTTATACCAATAGAAGTAAAGGTGATTAGAGACAGGGTCACAACTGAGGGTCACCATCTGCCCCACGTGTATCACTTCATGACTTGGGATCTGCACGACTTTGGGTCCCGTGAGTCCTGTGAAAAGAGAAAGAAGATTAATAGACTGGTTTAAAATTGTCCCAGTATGAAATGAAAAGTGTCAGGAATTCTTAAGAATCCACCTGCTTTCAGGAGACTAAAAAATATCCAACATAGGAGCCAGATATCCATAGTGGGGTCACAGCAGGAATGCAGCTTCTCTTAGTTTGAGTAACTGGGCATCAGAAACAGAGGCAGGATATACTACACTCCTATGGTCCCATAGGCAAGGTCTGTCAGTTAAGGGTGAGTGGTAATACAGTGCCGTCTACAGGCCAAAGGAGCAAACATTAGTACCATGCATATACCAGACACCCAGGGTTCAGGATTCTGTTCTGTCTATGAGATCTGATAGTGTGCATAAGACAGAGGGTCATTACCAAGACTAGTTAGAGGGATTCTGGCGTTCAGCAAAGGAAGTTCTGAGAATTAAGTCTTTCTCAGAAATGCCAGGAGATTTTCTTCTTTGATACTGTGGTTAGCAAAAATTCAGAGGCATCTGAGTCTTAACAATCCAGAGTACAAAGACTCGGCATGAAAATTAAAGAGATGTAAGGAAAGAGTCAAGCATGAAAGTGTTAAAAGTTCCAATGGAATGGAAAAGCAGGAGTTGAGAACCTGACCATAAGTAAGGAGAGTAAATCCAACATTGGTACAGATCAAATCAGTGATTTTCCTGGGATATGGGAACTTGAAGAGCCATGTGGGAGAAGTTAGTGTCATGGAAAAGGTGTGAGCATACTTGGATCTGGAATGAGGACTGAGGTACAGGCTCTTCTTGAAAAGAGAAGTCACATGAGGGCACATATTGGCAGAGGATTGGTGAGAACAGTTAAGTGGTTCATAAAAAGATTTCTCAGTACTAAAACCCTTGAAACAACTTTCAATTGAGCTTGTCAGTCCCCCATATTCAACTCTAGATGTCTTCTTACTCAAGGCAAAGACTGCTGCTATGTAGATGTAGAATTTGAGAGTAAGATATCTAATTGTCAGGTGGTGTTGTGGTCTGAGGTTTCTACTTGAGTCCTGTGCACTACTGACTGTGTCTCAGGGCTCAGGTGGACCTGTTACAGCAACCGTTTCCTGGATAGACTGAGGAGGTTTGTGTACAGGGGGGCAAGAGCTCTGCAGGGCTGTGTCTTGGCTGCTAGCACAGAAATATGTGGCTGAGTCGTCAGGCTCCAGGGCTGAGATCTGAAGGTCTAGGTAGGATTTCTCTGTATTGTGAGGTTGGAATCGGGTTGAGATAGACTGGTTTTCCATGAGTTTTTGATAGCTATAAGAAAACATGAGCTGTAGGGACTTCTTAGCACTTTGTCTATACCAGTACATAGCATTGTGAGATAGATGCTGTTCACATATCAGGGTCCTTTTATTCCCCTTGACTGTCACCAGATGTTTTGGTGTCTGGATAATTCTAGGATCCACTGGACCTGTGGGAATAAGAAACCAAAGTTAATCCTCAAGAAAATTATAAAAGGATGTTCCATGGAAAATGCGGAAGTGTATGGACCAAGGCTAACACTCACCTGACACCAGGAGAAAAAGGGCCAGGCAACTGAAGAGCCTGGAACCCATCATAATGTTGCACAGGATGGGATCTGTTTCTCCCTCTTTGTGACCTGGCTGTCTAGATGCCTTTTTCTTACCCTGTCAGAGGGTTTACTTGGGTGTTCCCTGTTCCTGTAAGTGACTTCAGCTAACCCTCTCTGCCCTTTGTGCTTGTCAAGGCTGATCATGCATACATAGTCTCCCAGACACAGACTATACCCAGCAGCCTCCCAAGGCACCTCAGACAGCTGCTTGTACCAGCAAATGGCATACTCTTTCTCCTTTCTGCTTTGTAATACCTCCTCCTCCCCTGACACAGATTCAACCCTTTGGATAGACGCCCTTCCTTCTGCCTCTCATGGACCCAGATCAGGAACTCTCAGACTTTCTTTCCTTCATCTCATTGCTGATGAGAGCCTTTTCTCAAGCCAGGTGTCCATCATTTCAAGATGCAGTAATTTAATAACAAGTTAAAAAGCACATCAGCACTAAGTGGGGAAGGAGAGGAATATGCTACACTCAAACACACACCGGGAAGACCTCACCTCCTAGTGGCTTAAGCATGCATACCTGCAGGAGACATGCAGAGGGCCTTTAGGAACAATATCCTACAGGTTCAGGAAGTCCTAATACTTTTGAATTGGATTCATCTCATCGCTCAATGAGAGCAAGAAACAAAGCCAGATGCTTTACTTCCTGCCCAAGTCCCTTCCCAACCTCCCTTCTCATTCACCTCCATCAATACCCTCAAGAGTTTCAGTGAAAACTGAGTCCTTCACAACTCACACCCTGACAAGAAGCCATCAATTGTTTTCTTTAAGCAGCTGGCCATTGGGAGTTTGACCATGCTTCTGTGAGTATATGGGAAACACAAATTGGACTTGCTTCTTTTATTATTTTCTTTCTTGCTTCTTTATTTTTATTTTTTTGAAGGGGAGAGGTCACAAGGGCTGGGATGCACACCTGGGAGGACTGGGAAGTGAATGTAATCAGGATGCATTAAGTGAAATTCCCAAATAATCAATAAATATATTGGGAAATATTTTTTCAGTGTTGTCATAGCTCCACCTAGAGGAAAAACAAGCACAGTACACTCCTCCCAGTCCTCATCTCCCAACCCCACCATATGCATGGTTCCTGAGCTTGAGATTCACAAAAGATAAATTAACCAGGGGTGTTGAACTAAGGGAATCCATGGGCTAACTCCAAGGAAAGATGTGCTGACATTTATTGGTGAAACACCGCAAATCAGTCAAAAAGTACTGAATGTATCCCTACTTACCAGGCTCTTCTCACACACTAGGAATAGAGAAATAAAATAGACTATATGAAATAAGCTATTTTAGTTTGTTTAAAAATCACCAATGAATAATGTTCTTCTTGAATGCTGAGTGTGGGGAATTACAGTGCACATTATAGGAAAATTTGATTGTAATTGTTTTAGGCACCTAAATAATCCATATTCCCATTTCCACAGAAAACTGGATGCAGGTAAAGGCTGACATAATAATTTGGAGCCACCTGCCAAACATTCAGACTATTGAGGTAACCGTCTGCCAAGATGCCCACTCATCATCTGTACCAGGAACTCCAGTGTCCCCCAACTCTATCACAATGCTTTATGGGGTACAGACGGTTCGTTGTGTCTGAATAGATGAGTATAATGTTAAATAATAAAAGATCACAAGCAAAGGGCAAGTCTAAATATTTCAAAGAGTGTTTCCAATGTGATATTGTTGCCACTGGCTTATTTATGTTGGAAGTTTTACATAAATTGCAAGTGCCATCTCAAGATACATGATCAGAATGTAACTGACTAAATACATTTATCTGGCATGAGTTGGTTGATCACTCGCACTTTAAAGGTGGTCATGGAACAGTAGCTCTTCAATTTGTGCCAAGTGTTGTTCAAAGGAGCTATGGGAGTTGAAGGGGGATGTTTCCTTTCTGAAGTCACCCTTCCTGTCAGGATCCTCTCATTCTTTGGAGACTCCATTGCTTTATGACAAAAAATGTTCCCCACATTTCCCATCCTCCCTTAGTCTTATATCTATTACTTATCTGAAGAGAACTGTCTTCTCTTAGTGGGGAGAAGATATTTAGGAAACAAGGCATAAGCTCTAGGTATGTGTGCTTGAGATGTGACACTGTTCCCAGGGCATAAGAGTAAGTAAAGTAGGAAGCATACACAGTATACAGACAACTGTACACATGCACATGTATTTCTAATTCTGTCTATCCATATTGAAAAGCTGGGAGTTTACTGATGTTTCTAGTTCATTCTAGTGCTGGCACTCTCCCTTTCCATGTCTGCAGCTTTCTTAGTCAGTGCTGAGAAACCTGTTATCTGTCATCCTTATTAGGTATCCATGTCCTATCACCAATCTGCATGCAGCCAGCTGACTATTTCAGTTCTCTCCCTCTCTCACCTGCTAACATCCTCCCCACCCTATCTATGTTCTGACTCCTCAGTCCTAAAGAGCAATATGAAGAAGGTCTCCTCATTTAATCTCAGGTTTCCGCACCCCACACAAGGCCTGTGATGTCCTGTCTGACCTCAATCTGCTGGGGCTTCAACAGCCTACATGAGGCTGCTTCATGTGCTCCACACTCAACTGGGATATCCTCTTCACCTTATGCTGTCTCCATCTCCTTCCCCAAGACCCTCTTCTGCAGACACAAATGAATTCAGTCCTTAGTCTTCTGACCACAGTGATCTTTTCATTGGCAGTGTGTGTAGTCAGATTTTTCCTTGGGCTGCCAGCTCACAAAAAATGACATGGAAACACTGATTATTAATTATGAAAGCTTGGCCATTAGCTTAGGCTTGTCTCAACCAGCTCTTATAACTTAAATTAAACCACTTATATTAATCTACATTCTGCTATGTGGCATTACCTCTCTTCCACCTAGCACCTCCCGTTTCTTCTCTGTATCTGGCTTGTGACTCTTATGCCCCTAGATTCATGCTGTATCTGACTCCACTTGCTCCATGCAGATCCTCCAAGGGTGAGGCTGGTGGTGACAGCTACTGAACATATACTTGCATGACTAGGGCACTCTGAGCCCTTGGTGTTTCTCTGTTCTTTTTCATTCACCCAGTTCTTTAGAAGCATTGGTGATGTCTTGACACTGCAAACCCTAGAAACTTGCCCTCCATCCTGACCATTGTGTGCTTTGTAAAAATATCTTATGTGCATTTGGTCTTCATCAGGTCACAGTTTGTACCTCAACCACTTCCTTTGTGTCCTTCCAGACACCCTCTTACTCACTTACCAGTATTTGGAAATCACCTAAAATAACCACAGAAGTGGAAAAGTGGATGGGGGAAAGTGCCCAGTCTTCAGCCCTGTACACAGAACTACAGGCAACTAGGGAATGGTGAGGGCTGGAGAAACGGTCTTCCCCAGGCAAGAGCACACTAACTGGTTATTCAGTACCAAATGGTCAGCCCTGAAAACATCCATACAAGCAACATTATACAGACCAAACATGTTATATACATGTAAGAATAATTAATGAAAAAAGAGGCCATGGATTTCTAAGAGACCTCGGTGGAGTATATGGGAGGGTCTGGAGGG